TATATATATATATACGCTTAAATTGTAAGATGGCCAAGGGCAGGTATCATTTTTCCCCATTTTACAGATGAGGAAACTGAGGCTGGAGGAAGTAAAGCCTCCCCAAGGCCTCACAGCCTGAGATCTTGATCCTGGCATGGGGGTATTGCCCATCACTGTAAAATCCAACATGTATTTGGTGAGGACCTCACAGGGCTCCTGTCCTGAGTGCCAGGGAATAAGTTCCACGTGGTCTCTGCACGGATCTCACAGTTGCAGCTCCAGTCCCTCCCGCTCAGCCTCGATTTCTTCATCTGTAGATGGGGTAAGAGCGCTTGACCTTACCAAACGGAGCTGCTGAGAACTCAGACTGCAGATGGGAAGTGATACGTGAATGTGTGCAAGGTGTTTTGTTTTGTTTTGTTGTGTTGTGTTGTGTTGTGTTTTGTTTTGTTTTGTTTTGTTTTGTTTGCAGAGGAGGGGACGGAGTCTCACTCTGTCGCCCAGGCTGGGTGCAGTGGTGCAATCTCGGCTCACTGCAACCTCCGCCTCCTGGGTTCAAGCAATTCTGCGTCAGCCCCCCGAGTAGCTGGGACTACCAGCACATGCCGCCACACCCGAATAATTTCTTTTGTATTTTAGTAGAGATGGGGTTTCAATGTGTTGCCCAGGCTGGTGTTGAACTCCTGAGCTCAGGCAATCCACCCGCCTCGGCCTCCCAAAGCACTAGGATTACAGGCGTGAGCCACTGCGCCCGGCCGTCTGCAAAGTTTTTAAAGCAAAAATGAGACAGTAGTTCCTAGATGTCAGCAGGTGAACAAGAACCCCGGGCACAGGATGCCCAAAGGACGGACTTGAGCAGTCAGGCTCAAGAGGCCCAAGTCCCCACAGTGGCAAGTGTCCAAGCCGCAGCCTGGGGGAGCTAGGGCCTCCAAAGGTGGGAGGGAATTTCAAGAGTTCCAGGCAACACGCAGCCCCTCCACCACTGCATCAGACGAGAGGCCCATTTTCCAACACGCCCAAGAAAAAATATACATAAAGGTTGATGTGTTTTCAAATGGGTTTTTGCTTTGCTCTTCTCTTTTCTCCCTGTGAGTATTAACCTTGGGGACCCCGGGGACGGCTCGGCTTGCCAGAGCACCTGCTGGGGTCACACGTAGTCATTAGCTTTGCGGTCAGTGCAGAATAAACCCCAATTCCCGAGCCGGCGAGAGTGTGCGTACCGCTCCTGGAAAGCCCTCGGAACGCCGCCTCGCTCCTCCAAAGTCACACTTTTTCCTGCCTGACTTGTTCCTCTCCTGCTATTCTACCTCCAGCTGTGGGGGCGTCGAAGAAAAAGATGAGATCAAGTTGAGGGGAAAAATTGTCTGATTTCTCAAGCCCTTTGTTTCCCAGGCCCCTGGCAAGCGGGACTGATGCTAGGCTGAAGGCTGGAGACCAGGGGATCTGCTGGACCCCACCAGCTGGTGGGGAAGTGGATGGAGGAGAGGGGTGCAGATCCCTGCGGGAGGTGGACTGTAGGGTGTCCGGGGACTGGCATGTCATCCTCCCACCTCTTTCTGTCTTTTGTCAGAATCAAGCGCCTCCAGGTCTCTACACGAAGACCCAGGACCCGGCCAAAGCCCCCAACACCCCTGACATTCTCGAGATCGAGTTCAAAAAAGGTATGTTTTTTGAACGTCCCACCTGTTGGGACTCGAAAGGGGTTGACAGGGGTTGACTCTTGGCACCCTGGCTCCTTTCCCCTCCCTGCCTGGGAACCTAGGCCCTCTTTACCCCCACCCTGCATCCCTGGAAGCTGGAGTTCAGACAGGGGTTTCAAGGGTGCCGCACAGCCCACCTCCCTGGACAGTATGACCCATGGATGCCTCTAGGCTTGGGAGGAACACGCCCTCAGCCACCCATCACTTGGGTCCATGGGCACCAGGTCTGGAATGAGAGCACTCTAGTCCCTGAACAGCCACTCACCTTTCCTGGGCCTCAGTTTCCTCACCTGAGGATGAAAGAGAGTGCCTGCTGTTTTCCCGGGGTAGAATGAGGCCTGCAAGGGAGCGTCCAGCCCCAGGCCCTGATCCCATAAGGTCCTCAGTAAACAGTCAGTGTTGGTGAGCTGGCCTCAGGGACCCCTGGGACCCCACGTGGAAAGCCTTCGCCAGTCCTCACTGAGCCGCTCTGGGCCTCACCCTTCTGACCCCACGTTCAAAGTTGTGGCCACTCTTGCTCCCCTCGGCAGTGGAGCCTGTCCTGTTCACTCCCTCCTCCTCACTGCTGTCAACAAGAAGCGTTGGCTGGCCTGGCCTGAGTGCCTGGGTGCCTGAGCTTGGGAGAGGGCATCTCTTGGCCTGGAGGAAGGACAGGGAAGCAAGGCGAACCTGCCTGGGCTCAGAGGGAGGGCTCAGAAGGCCTTTCAGGAGGCTGGAGAGATCAGGGAGGCTTCCTGGAGGAGGTGGTGCTGGGCACAAGGGCATCCCAGGACCAGGCCGGGGCTGGTCCATTTGTCCACAAAGTGGCTGCCCACACTGGAGCTGGGATGAGAGGGAGACAGGCTCGTGGAGAGGCCTGGCCCGGCTCTGATGCTCGGCCCTTACCCTGGGTACCACAGAGAGGCGGATTGGGTGGGGAAGGCTCGGGCTGGTGGGGAAGCAGAGCTGCAGACCCCACCCTCCCTCTTGCTGGTGTGACCTTGACAGCCAGCGTCACCATGCTGGGCTTTGGGTGCACTCATCTAAAAACAGGCCCACAGGCATGATGCTCACAGGTGCCCAGCATGGTGTGTGGAATGGGGTGTCGGAGGCTGAGTGCTTTAATAATCTGCCTCGTCTGGGACTTTCCCAAGAGCCTGGCCAAGTCAGCGAGTGTCTTCCTTGCTCCCCTCCATCTGTCCCAACCCACTGGGGGTCAAAGAGGCCCCCAAAGGCAGCCGGGCCCCCAGGCCTGTTTGCAGGCACACAGCCTCCCTTGAGGATCATCTCTGAGGAGATGGTGGGAGTGGCCCCAGCAGCATCTCCTGGCTCCCTGCACGGGGCCCCAGGGGCCCGGAGACCCGTGAGGGTGGGAGGCAGGCGGCAGGCTGCAGCGGGTCCTCCGGCAGCCCTGCCCAAGGACCCGGGCAGCTCTGCGGGCTGAGCTGGAGAAGAAATGTGACCTATTGTCATGATTTGGGGACTGTCTGGAAGAAGAAAAAAAGACGGGAGGAACCCTCCCCTGGCCAGTGCCCATTCACTCTCTAGTTAATTTATTTGAAGTTTTAATCTAATTATTAACTATTTTAAAGGCTAAGAGGCTTTCTCCGGCAGCAGCACCAACAATGTCACCTCTTCTCCCGGGCAGGCCCCATCTAAGGCCCCAGCGAAGGCCGATAATAGGACCGGGAGGGAGAGAAAGGGAGAGGGGAGAGGCGGGGGGTGGCGAGAGGGGCTTAAGGTTCATTATTGGGCAGACTTACATTTAATAGCAATTTACAACCAAGTTATAAAACCCCTGGAAATGGGGGTTAAGAATGGCGAGGCTGACAGCGCCTTGAGCGAAGCCCCTCCAAGCGGCGCCTGGCTAATAAAGCCTCGAAAGCCGCTATTGAGGCCTGATTGGCACCCGATGGCTCGCTCCATGGTAATGAGCCGGGCAGATGGGTGGGGGATTAGCCGCCAACTTTGAACAGCTTTTCTTTGTCACTGTTTCAGCTCTCTTGTTAGCCCCAATACATTTATTGCTCATTTCACACCGCTCGAGAAAGTGCCCCTTGCTATTCAAAGTCAACCCCGAACCCACCCACTGCCCCCCCCAACCCCTTCCCTCCTGCCCTCCTGCCACCCCAGACCCAGCTCCTTGGATTCAGGGACGCTGCCGACACCTCGCCTGCTGGAGCGGGCACCGTGTCACCCCCATCAATCAGATGGCTGCGTGTGGGTCTGGGGTACAGGGTCGGGGCGCGGGGTCCGCCTGACAGACGTGGCAGGGGGCTGTGTGTGTGTGTGTGTGTGTGTGTGTGTGTGTGTGAGCGAGTATGTGTGTGCTTGAGCCCAGCCACACCTCGGCCAGGCGGCCCCCGGGTGACTGGTGGGACAGAAGGTGCTCCCGGCGTAAGACAATGGTGGAGCGTGAAATTCAATTAGTTCAGGGCCTGGTTCCAATTTCACAGCCCCTAAATGCAAAAGGGGCAAAGAGAATGGGAGGGTGGGGGAGAGCGTTTTTATTACATTTTCCCTTTCATTCTGGGGGGCTTTCTCGCCCCTTCTCTCCCTGCAGCAGGCCTCAACCTGCACAGGGCTTTTGAAGGAGTCATTTGGAGTCCATATCTGTCACATCCATTTAAGGCGTTGCGGGAGGAGGGAGAGGGTGGGGTGGCTGGTGCAGGCTCTTCTGCTGAGCCGGGCCCAGGGGCCCACTGCCTTCTCCTCCCACCCTAGGGGTCCCCGTGAAGGTGACCAATGTCAAGGATGGCACCACTCACCAGACCTCCTTGGAGCTCTTCATGTACCTGAACGAAGTCGCGTGAGTGACTGCAGCCCTGTCCGGCCTCCTGGGCACCGCTGTCTCAGGCGAGCACGGACCTGGACCATTGCAGCTGATGGTTGTGGCTGAGGCTCAGGGGTGCAGAGGACAGGCCGTGTCCCTTCCCCATAGCCACAGAGTTTCCCGGACTAGGGGAGCCCCGTTTGGCAGGAGAGGCTCCGTGGTCCTTAGCCTTGGAAGATAACAACCCCAGGGGGCCTTCTGCCTCCAAGGGATCATTAGGCTGGGGCTCCCAGGCCCTTGGCTGGATGGGAGGCCAGGATAGAAGGAAAGGGAGCGGTAGTTAGCTCTGGTGCTAGGCAGGGCCCCAGGACACAGGTAACAGAAGGAACAATTTGAACTCACACCTGGGCAATCCCTTCTCTCTCTGGGCCTCAGTTTCCGCACCTGTCCAGTGGGCACTTGGACTAGGTGACCAGGCTCAGATGTCCTCTGAGTCTTAGATCCTGAAATGCTGCCTCACCTGTGGCCTAAGCTGCACCCACCCTGGGGCAGCCCAGCTGGGTGGGTGACTCTGAGCCTTGCGGTAGTCCCTGAACCTAATGGACCGGTTCTTCCCACAGGGGCAAGCACGGTGTGGGCCGAATTGACATCGTGGAGAACCGCTTCATTGGAATGAAGTCCCGAGGTGAGTCTGCTCAGCCCTGCTCAGAGCCCGCCTCAGGGCCCAGCAAACCCAGAGATCCCTGAGACCTGTCCCATTTGGGCGCTACTACCCCTATGCTACGTGGGCGACGTTGGGCGCGTCCTTCCACCACAGCCTCCGAGACTGCAGTTCCCCTGCCGCCAAGTGGGGCTCATGGGCCCTTTGCCACTGACTTTCAGGCTGTTAGGAGAAGGGCTGCCCAAGGGCTGAGAGAGGCCCAGGAGGGCCTGGGAGTCCCCGAGGAGCAGGCAGGCCAGGGCCAGGCCTGGAGGTCAGGCTGTCTTGTGTCTGGGGCGGGCAGGCCAGGTTTGGAGGCAGACCGTGCAGGCCCGATTTCGTGGTCATTAAGGCCGCATGGAGGCCGTCGGCCAGGCAGGGTAAAAGTTCTGCCAGAGGTGGGCGCTGTGGCTGCACTGGCGCTGGGAGCCGGCCAGCGCCTAAGGTCCTGTCCCGGCATCAGGCCCGGCTCATGGGGCCCTTTTTCCAGGGATGGTTGGGGCTGAGCCTCAGTGTGGCATGCCTGCCACCTCAGCTGGCCTCTAGCCTGCCTAGCCCCGTATCCGCCTCTGGCTGGGCCCAGGAGCAGGGCAGTTGGTCCCCAGGCAGGTGCTTCTGTCTTCTCTTAGTAGCCAAAGCCCATGATTCCCTTTGTCGGTCACTCACCATTTCATCTTGACCACATCCTCCTCTCCAGGACTCAGTTTCCCCATTCATACACCAAGGGGATCTCAGGTCCCTGAGGGTCTGCCAGTGTGTGATAAAGCCATGCTGTGTTTTCTGGGGGGGTCCTAAGAGGGAGAGGACAAGGTTTCAGTAGTTGGATCCCCTGAATTGGGCACCTGAATTTTTAATACTGGTGGTGGAGTCAGGGCTCCCCACTTTGGTAAATGTTCAGATCTCTTTGCTTAGGGTCGATGTGAAAAGATACCAAGCCAAGTAAAACCTGACCACGGTATAGTCATAGCCCCATGTCCCTCAGGCTATTTTTACTAAGATTCTAAAATCCGAAGACAGCTGATCACCCCATGTGGGCCAGAAGAAAAGGGTGGTGGTGCGGAGGGCAGGAGGCCTGTTTCTGGTCCCAGGTTTGCCCTGCCTTGCCCAACGACCTTGGACTTGTCATCTATCGCTAGGCCTCAGTTTCCCCAAGTGTAATGTGGTAAGCGTTGGGAGTTGCATCACTCTGGTTCTGACCTGTTTGCATTTACCTCAAAAGACATGGGAGCACGGAAAGGGGAGGCGGGTTTGTCTCTTTCTTGTGGTTTAGCTCCTTGCTTGCTGTTATTCAGGAGAAACAACCTAATTGAAGCTCTGGGAAGGCCTTGAGAACAATGTTACTAATTAGCTGCTCCTTTTTATCCTGGCTTACCTTTGTCTCTTACCTATATTAACATGTGA